CGTACTAAAGTTCGACAACGAAAACACTGCTTTACTTAGTACTGTTGTATACATAGTTTGTCCCGTACAAAATCAATGCCACGAAGGCGAAATATTCTCAAGCGATGAGAATTTCAACGACAAAATATTATCTACAGAAATAATTATTCAATTTATAAATATATCACCAAATTTCATAATTAGAGTTGTAAGCATGATTAAGTATACTTCATCGAACGTTAGAATATCCCGTAATTTTTATAAATATTCCGAAATTTGCATGAATTAAAGTTCGCTAGTTATTTATGCTTGAATAGCATATTTCAACTTCGAAGTTACTACGTTTTCTGAAACTTGTATCGAAATATGTATGCAAATTGCAATTACAACAATTCATAAAGAAATATAAACGATCAATTAAATAAATATCACTCGAAAATATCTAATCGCGATCAGAATACAGTGTAATATAAACTATTTCAATGTATCGTTAATATCTACCGACGCCATTTCTGTATACTTCGATATGTATCGAAGTAGATAGAAAGTTTGTTAACGATTTTAATATTTCATCTTAACAATGACCGATTATAAAATTAAAATCATGCTTGCAACGAAAAATGTAATAAAGCTACAATAGACATGTATAAATATTAATATGAATGTTAATTTTTGTTACAATTGTTTAAATGTTACCAATATTCCCTCCACAATTTGTCGACTCGTCTGCCATCTATTATGGTGTCCTTTACGCGCCAATAAAAGTTTCCATGGCGTCGAATTTCAATCAGAGACTGCAACAGAAATAAAATACAAATTAAATCATAATTAAACAATGATTGATTATAATGAGGAAATAGCAAAAGGTTAGAAATACATACTTCGCTGGTCGCGAAACGCCGACACGTCTTGACAGGTTTCAACAAGTCTTATAATTTCTTCATTTCGAATTCCAATAAGAGACTGTAACAGAAACGAAATAAGGATGCATTAAAGTACACAAACGATTGTTATAATTAAGTAGTATGATTAAATCGAATCCGTATTGCAAGATATCGTAATTAAAACGCGAGTAGTAATAGTGGAAAGATCAACAGGTTAGATATACGCACCTCGGTCGCGGAACACCGATACGTCTCGACGTCAAAGGAATGAATGATGGCCGACCGCTGTGCTCGGCAATGCTCGCGAATTAGGCGGCGGAGTGGGGAGGCTCCGACGTCTCCCGAAGCTTGTATTACGAACCGGTGCCTCGGGCATGCCTCATCTAGATACCGCGGATAGACTGATTTTAGCAAATTATTTACAACTTTAACTAGTCAAGGAATCGCGAATAATTTGTACTTTTCAACACGTATGCATTTACACGCAACTAGCTGCTGCATATTACACTAATTCTGTGAGTTTCTCAACTGACCGCCATCTGACAAGAGGCCGCTAAAATCGCCTACGAATTTTCAGGTCGGTATGGCAGTCAGATTGGGCCACGAATGTTCATAAGGTGAAAGCACAGATACCATGTATTTCACATGCAATTCACATGTACTTACCCACAGCTACAGCTGCCTGGTAATCAATATTAATTCAGTAAGTAGCTTCTCCACTGACCGCCATCTATGAGGAGAGGACGCTGAAATCACCTCCGAATTTTTAGGTCGATATGAAGATTCATACCGGCGAACAAATGATTTTATTCTCGCGGTTCGTAACAGAAGAAGAGCCACGATGCTCTGGAAGTAATTTAATATTGCGTAAGAAACACTGCTTCTATTCACGCGTTTCCCTAACACCGTGAACGACAATGTACCTACTAGAGGTCACTTTGCTACGAGAAACAAACTTGTGGTAAGAGACTGTAACAGAAACGAAATAAAGGTCCATTAAAGTACATAAACGATTGTTATAATTAAGTAATAATTACTAAAGAGATCGTAATTAAGACGCGAATAGTAATAATGGAAAGATCAGGAGGTTAGAATTACGCACCTCGGTCGCGAAACGCCGATACGTCTTACTACGTTCATCGTCAGAGTAAAAATGGCGGCCCCTCGGCAATGCTCGGGAATTCGGTGGCGTGGTGGGGGAAGGCCCGATGTCTCACGAAGTTTGAATTACGAGCTCAGGTAGAAACCGCGAATATAAAATAAATGAACGAACAAGACAATGTAAATACCTTGACTTTAGAATCATATTGATGAATGGCGATATCATATTAATTGGCTATCGATTGGTTATCGATTATAGATTTTCGGTTTTGTCATTCTCTCGTGTATAATTTCCACGTTCGTCAACTCGATACACATATGTATAATTGTGATAATGGAAATCAATTTTTAAACGTTTCAAAAACAATATTCGTCGATGTAATTTCTAATGGATGAATCTGAATATTCCTATCTTATACACGTGCTTAATAATAATTAATACTTGCTTTACTGATCGAGTATTGGGAGATTATTTGTTTTTGTCGGTTATTGGCACGTTTATCTTAATATAGCGTTAACGAGACGGAAAGAGGAACGAGGCTATTACGATATCGGGCAAAAGTCGTTCGTCCTTGGTGGATTGGGAAACGATGAGTCAGACTAGGATTCGTCCTTTTCGTCTCCTAAGAGGAATCACGCTTTACGTTCCGCAACTCCTGCCGCTGCGTCATCCGACGTCTAACGCATTTTCCCCCGGATGAGAACGACCAATCGATCAACGAGAATCAACGTACCACGATATTTTATGCACGATCGGTAAATGAAGATGTTAAATAACGCACAAAAATAATAATTAAACTTTGGGCGTAGAGGTTGCGATTTTATGAATATTAAGCGATCGATTCATCTTATTGTTATCATTTACGTGAACCAAACAGGGAAGAGAGCTCGTCATGACTGTGCAAAAATAAGCTATCAGAAATTTGGTCCATTTTGTCTCGCGAAAAACGAACGGTAGAGATGTTCCGATCGCCGGAAGTCACGATTTTAACGGGATAACGATTATTTCTTGAAAGGCATATTCGGCAAATTCGCGTGCACGTTACTATGTAGTAACGATAATGATGGTCAACGAACCCTTCCGACGCTAGGCGACGGATCAATTGAATTGAAATGCACCCCTCGTGTGTCCCGTTGTTATCGTTTCAAGGGTGAATGTCTATTTTCTTCGGCGAAAGTCGGCTCCCGGGCCATCGAAACGGATTAAGCGACGCTGGACGAAAGATACGACGAAATACCGATCTATACATGGAATACTGACCTCGTACTCAATTTGTCAAATAATTTATTTTAGATTAATCCATCGATTTCGCGTAATTATCCACGGGCACCGTGCAGAGGTGGAAGCAACCTCGATCTGTCCCGCGATACGAAAAATGACGCACGTCAGATCGATGTTAGAGATCGTTCGAAGATAGAATTTTCGCACGATTACAGGAGAAGGCGAATCGTTCCACCGTTTATGTTCTTTTGGTTCGAGGAACACCGTTCGATTTTTGTTCTCGGAATAGGTCAAGTTCGAACAGGTCGCTCGAATGGGTTTTTAATTAGAACGCTTGAAACATAAACAACGGTGAGTGTAATACCGTTGCATACATCCCTAACGTAGAATAATGCAAGGAGCGAGGCGAAACTGTAACTAGAATCGATTGCAAATGCTCGCCGGGCGGTGTAATTTCTAAGGAAATTTTCACGTCGAAATTTTCATCTTCGAAAATGTCTTTGGACGGAAATAGGTTGTCATGAATATTGTAATTAGTCCGTGCTACAGAATTCCCGATGAAATTCGTTTAAAAATTTATTTAGTTTATTCGATCGAACGGATTAATCGTTCGCTGGCCATAAAATAATGGACAGTGGGAAATATCTGGCCCACGGAATCAAAGTTTGTTCAACCTTGCTCTAGACGCTTGTACGCCGAGCCTAGAAATTCATCTCCTCGAAAGCCGCGGAAATATTCATGGTGACAGAGAAGCAATCTTGGAGGCGGCGTATTCGCACGGAGGAGACCGAGAAACGAGATCATTTCGTTAAGTGTATTCCACGCTAACAGCTCCGTAAATCACGGGATACGAAAGTGTCCCGTGTTTTAACGCGCAAGGTTGGAAGAACCAACGCAAGTTTTAAATCAAGGATATCGCATGGCTGAGCCTACGCTTCGCTTTTCGAGCTCGACGCGAAAACGAGGATGACGTTCGATTACCGGACCGAAGTAAATCGACTTTGAAACATAACCGTGGGACGGAAATAATGTTTCAACAAGTGATTTTTCCTTTTCGAACACGTTCTCGAAAGAAGACATTGATTTTTCGAACCCTTCACGCTCGAGTCCTTCCACGAGGAGCAAAAATTAATCCTGACGGTGCATTAATCGTTCGAATAACGAACTACCAGGCGATTTACATATTGATATTAAAATGTTTCAATCGATTCGTCGTTGATAGAACCGTCATTTCGATTTAATCAGTGCTGGACGTCGTCTCGGCTGTTGACGCCACCCGTTCGCCACCTGTTCACGTCACAAGTCTAGACAAAGTCACCAACGCAGATGGAACGTGGTTCCAGCGAAACGATACCCTCCAAAATGATTCCATCGGGATTAATCGGATCGTGCCCCAGATGTTCTCAAAACTTTTCTAAGTGGGAAGTTGGTTTTCGTGAAAATTAATGAGAATCGTAAACTTTGAGGTGTTGCGTTCGCAAGAGTTCTGTCCTGAAATTTCTGTAGAGAGGAATTGGAAAGGTGATCGATTCGGCATGGAATGGTCCGAAGATAAAACGTTGATCGCGTTAGGGAGCCGCGTAAAGGAATAATTAGAAGGAGAGGCGCGTGGCAGAGGAGGTTTCTAAGGGTCGCACCTATTCCCTTATTCCCCTATTCCCCGAACGAGCCGATCGCGGGGAGAATCCCTTCGTTTGGGCCGCGTGTGCGGGGGTGCGCACGCGTGTGGACGCGCACGCGCTGAAAATTGTCTGATAACGGCGGGCGTCCCGACGTCCTCAGTGTTGGCTGCAACGCCGTAACGTCGGTACGCGTCCACCGACCCCTCTTCACCGTTCACCATACGAGCGTTTCTCACCTGCGAGGCTCCTGACCGATCGATCGCCACAGGATGAAATACCGATTTACCGTAGACGCGATACTCGCGACTGCGAAACCCTCGTCGTTTCAGCGCCTCGCGACACCGACCAGCCCTTCGGGGTCGAACGATAACACGTTCGCCGAATAGTCGAAACACTGGAACTCGAGGACCACGAAAGATCAAAAGCTAAACGTGAATTCGCGCGATCGACGCGTAAGAGTAATAAGACAGGGGGTGTTCGAGCCTGTTGTTCGCTGTGCTTTCGTACAATTTGCCCCGAGTCGGTCGAGATGCGCGCCACTTCGCGGGAAGAAAACAGCCCCTTTCCGAGTTAACGCGCGCGGCGATCGTCGCTCGCGGATGCTCGGGAAACGTGCACCGCGCGATTAAACGCTGCTAGTGGAACGATCGACGATCGATAACGAAAAGAGGAGAAAAAAGAACGCCGGGAAGTCGGGTCCGCGCGATCCACGATGCGGACACAGTGACGCGATCGCGATCCTGGTGAATCCGAAGACCGGCCGACATCGAAGATGATGCTTCTTCTGCTATTGTCGTTGCTACCTTTACGGGCACCTGCTTCCGGTGAGTCGATACTTTCGATACAACGGCTATTTCTACCGTGATTCGATGAACCCCGAAACGATGGGACTCGCGGTACCGATACGTTCGCCGCGGTTTCGTTGCGCAAAGTCACGCCATCCAGTCCGTGGGTAATTAACGCGGCTTAGCATTGTATGCTAAACTTCGCGTGCACGATGAACTCGAGCCAGTATTGTCAACCGCGATCGCGAATTCGCGTACCGTCGAAAATTGGAGCGCAGAAATCGTGCCCCGGCGAGTTTCGAAATGGGGTCTTCGAACGCGTTTATAGGGATCCTCGAGAGAAACATTAGACATTGTATGCTTTTCATAATGTTTTGTTATTGACGCGTCGACCCACGTGCGAATTAGAACTGTTTTTACCTAACAAATGTCGTTTGTAACGAATGTAGTTGTAAATCGATTAGTTTATTTAACTGGTGGAGTTGGCTGGAAGTTTAAAATTGTATTTAAAAAAATATGGAGTTGGTTCTGGTCCAGAGGAATCGTTAAAATTTTTCTTGGTGGATGGAGGAGCGCGCGGAGAGATGAAATTTGAGAGACACTGGCGCCCTAGGATTTGCAACAGCTAATCCTCGTGTTTCCACGAAGGCTCTTTGTTTTTCTACGGTGAACATTAACGATCCGCTCCCCGAAAACGAAATTTAAATTCACGGAAATGAAAATTAACTCCCCCGGAAACTAACGTTATAATTGCAGCTAGTACGACGTAGACGAATAATAATTTTGTTAAGGGTGTTGAGACTTTTATATATGTAACGTTGCTTCTGTATGCTAAGTGCCATACTATAAGGTTGTCCCATAATAGTTTCCCAAATAATAGTTTCTGTACGAACTTGATAATCTTACAACCCTTAAGACGACCTGGGATCCATTAGGGATCTCAATCCCATTACTTCGTTAATACCTCATTGATTCGATCGAATTAATACTTGCTATTTTGGGTAATCCTCTCTTTTAATCTCTTTAATCCTGTACAGCGATTACGCGTTTCGAAATTATCTGAAATTGAATGCAATTGAATACTTTGATCCTGGAATCGGTTAGCGATCACACTAGGGATTGATAAGAATCAGAGAAATCATTGCCCCCCTCCCCCGCTTTATAATACGCTTTAATCTACTGCACGAAATGCTAGTTACCTCATTTAGAGTAGGCCTCTATTTATGGTTTCCTACATATTTTACGGAGGAAGTGATTTCGGAGAGAGTGCAATATAAATTTTTAAGATTTCCATCGCATAAAGTACGTGGTATTATGATTACGATCCTAAATCTGAATTGCAACATTTAAATCGATTGGATCCAATTCGACGACGTAAACAGAAAACTATTTAATTTGCACGTGCTTTGTTTTCGATGCAATCAGAAACAGCTGACACGGAGCTTTTCGCGCGCCAAACGACACAAAATCTAGTCCATCGTTTCGAGATTAACTCGTTCGGCGTGATCGATCCATAAATTTTCGCACAAGCCGCTACGATTCCATCGAGAGGTGCACAAAAACGATACGATATATATCGCAACCTTTTAGAACAAAATACAGAACAAATCCCCGCGATAAATTTCCCGGCAAATGGAAAACATCCCTAACCGAATCTATCGGTCTAATTTCTTTAACGAACCATCCCATTATTTATTTCCGATATATTAAACAGCTGTACGATTTTCCCTGGAATTCCAGAGTTAATTAATCTCTATGCACCAACCGTAATGTCAAGGAAACTCTGTACGCGTTAAGACTTATCGTACAGCTCGTGGCAAATCCAGCTGTATAAATTCTACGTACGAGAACGCTAATGGTTTTCGCGATAAGTTAAACCGTTTTGTAGAATCGTTACGCCCTTTTAATCCTTTAACGACCAAGGACCTTTATTGGGGCGGAAAGAAATGTGTTTGGAGCGCAGTTGATTCAAGAATCTGTCCAAAAAATACCACGCGTTTATTTATGGATCGTCGATCTTTCGCGAGAACCTCCGAGTTTGACAGTGACGGAGAAAAATGATATTTAGTGAAAAAAATATACATAAATCCGAATTCCTGGTGTGATCGATGCTCGGCATTTCTTCCGGGAATCGTTTCTCGGTCAAATTTTGAACCAAACGGGCCCACGCGAAGGTTGAAACGACGATGACATTCGCACTTGACCGTAATCAGAAAACGCGATATCGCGATGTCGCGTGCAACCTCGGTCTCGCGTGATTCCAATGCAAGGCTTAAAATCGATACTGCCCTTTGGTCGAGTTTACACGTTCGCGCGGTACCTTTTCGAGCGATCGTTCTCGTAAGAAAAGGTAAGGTGATCGCACCCATCGATCGATCAACGTAAAACGTAAAATTCGAAGCAGATTCGAATTTTGCCGCCGTCCCGCGCGACCCAAATGTCCACCGGTCAACAGTATCGCGAACATAATTACAGCTTCGGGGAATAAACACCGGTCGGCGGTGAATTCATTAACGCACCGTAGTTCGAGCTGGATTAATTACGAAATTTTTTAAGTGCGTGCGTACGCGTTGGTATCTCGTGGAAACATGAAAAAAAAAACATGCAAACCGACAATTTAATAGCAGGAAAACACGCGAGCGTAACGGATCGCGTTGACTATGCCTGACTAGTCCAAGGATCCATTTCACCGATCGATCGCGGAAAGGCTCTCGTCCTTCGCTGGATGGAATTTCGTTTTCGTTTCTCAACTGGAAGTTTGTTTACTTTTGCAATGTCGCGCGATAGAAATACAGCGTTGAGCCCTTATCGCGGTAATTCTACGGGGAATCTTATAATTTCGTGGTCGCATCTGTCGCTCGGAGAGCGGGTAAAGGGCGATAAAATTGAAAAGAGTAAAAACGTGTCGATTGTGGCGCGAAACCCGTGGTGTTTGCGGACGCGTCGCATGCGGCGGGCCCCCGTTTGCTGTTCGGGGTACAATGGTTCTCTTTGTCGAGGGAGAGAATGCGACGAAAGCGAGGATTCGATCGGGTTGAGTTCCGAGCAACGCGAACGCGACACCTTTATCGGTCGTTTGCAAGAACGGTTCTCCATTCGCGTGCAAATTCTCGGCCGGGGTGGAGAATAAAAAAAAAAGTCGATCGACTACGTTCGCGTTACACAATACACCGACGCTGGATAGCGGCGGGCACGACACGCTCGAATCACGAGTTCACCGTACACACGGTCGATAAAACCAACGAGGGACAGGAACTAACGTCGATCACGGGACCCGTTGCTTGCCTACGATTAACATCCGTTCGCGCCCGCATTCGTTCGCGCCGAATAATTACCAAGTCCCATCTCCAGACAGCGGATCTCGCTTTCGCGGCCCTCCGCCAACTCAAATGCCATCCAATCGCGTCCATTTACCAACTCTAATTACGAATTTCATCGATGGATACACCCCCGATCGTTGATCTTTGATCGCCATTTGGGGAAACCATTGCCTGGGTTTTCTTTGTAAATTAATGAATTTATAAACAGTGTTGCGTCCGTTCGTTCGAGCTAAATAATCGTGTAACGTAAACGCGTTTTGGAACTTCGTTAAAACCGTAATGAAAATTCTTGCCGCGAGAAATTTCTATTAACGAGTGTTGTGTGCTAAAATATCAAATTACAACGATACCTTTCGTAGTTTCGCGGAAGCCAACCGTAACGAGAACTTTCGTTAACTTTTTCACGGGCATTCTCATTTCCATCGTTACCTCGTTTGTTTGAATTTTGCTCGATTACCGGAGGTGTTTTTTCTAACAAACGACCTCCGTATTCGGGGGAATATTCCGGTCATCGTTATCCTGCTCGTCGCCGAATCTCGTTGCTATCGAAACGATAAGATAGAAACCGATTTCAAGTTTGTAAAATAGCCTCTTGGTCGAGGCAAGAGGTAGCCCGTAAGGTCCGCGAGCGGTGAAATACGAACGTCAAACATTGCGTGCAGCCCCGAAATCGTTAATCAAGACGGGTCTTAAAAGCAACCCTCGCCCTTACTGCAACTACCGATTCGTAATCAGGAGAGAGGGGCGAGAGAGAAAGAGAGAGAACGAGGAGAGTTCGTGCATTATGCGCGGCTGCGGACGCACGCGGTTCAACTAGCCTGACCGAAGGGAATCGATCCTTGCGTTACCTGCGAACGTCTTGAAGCATCGATAGAAAACGTTAGCTTCGTTTCCAAAGTATAAGAATCCACAATTTGCTCCCCGTTCTATAATAAGCAGAAAGTTACATCGGGGGACGTACAGCATATGTGTCTAAAATGTGTCCTCTATAAATCATCCGATCTCCTTCAGCCAAAGGGACTAATAGTATCTTTCAAGCATCCCCTAAGGATTACCACCCTCGGGGAGAGAACTATGAGCATATTCTTCTCTAGAAACCATTCAATGGTCGTATAACGAGCCGACTGTTCTTCTACGCGTGACAGAGAAAAGAATTAGGCATCTTTCGAGTCTCTGAATATAGGTATACATAACTTTTTAACGAAGCGTCAATCAACGAATTAGGTACTTATTTCGATCTCTGGAATTTGCCATTAAAATTTTTCCCAGAAGTGGCCGAACGCCCTGTATGTTGGACGAATTATTGGAAAAAGATGGTCCATTAGGTGTGCACGATGGTGCATCGTCCTATTTCGACGGAATAGCCCAATAATTCTTGCACGAACGATTTCTTACAGACCGATAGGTCCTGCAGGACCTATTACCTGGTCTTTCCTTGGAACCAAAGCCACAGGACTTTTATTTTTCGGGTCCATATATGCTAAATATACGTATGTTCGAAAGGTTAAGAAACTTTGACACGAGCCAATTCTATCATCGACCAGTCGTCTATATTCTTCTGTCAAATCATAAACAATATCCAATGGGAACGTGTTGGCAATAATTAGTCGAACGAATTATTAAAAGAAGTTACTAACGCATTGACAAAATACCTGAAACGGTAAGAAGATTGAGAAGCTCTGCCGCAGGACGTCTGCATACTCGTATTTAGGTCGAATG